TTTCCAATCGAAAGACAAAAGTGAAAGTACATATTATGTCACCTTCAATTTTGGGCGTGATCGTAAACCGTCGATCGATTTTCGAAATTCGATAAGTTATCGATAACAGCAGAAAATCAATCAAATCAAGTTTATACTCTTAAAAATCTAAAGAGTAATAGACTGCAAATTCTATGAGATTCATTGTCGAAGTTTGAGACTCATTTCACATCGATAATTTATCGATAACTGGCAAATGATTTAACCACTTTTTCTATATGTTATCGATAATTGGTAGTTTGCTTAATTGCTGGCCATGAGAAAGGAATCTCGCCAAAATCAACTACATTTATCGATAAACGATAGAAAGGAATCTATCTGAAACAAATCGGCAACAGTTATCGATAAACGAAATGCAGAAATCTCAACTAAATTATAAAATGTCCTTGCTTCCAACTAAAGACTAATCGATAAGTAAACGATTATTATCAATTGCTGTTATCGATAAGTCCAGATCGAAATTGAAATTGAAATTAAGAACACGCTTCGCTTACGACTAAAAAAAAAAAACGTACGCAGGAGTGTGCCTGCCTAATAAATGCACCACAGCAAACGCATTGGATTATATGTTTTTTGATTAATTCATATATTTTTTAAACTACCACACACACGCACACACAAATGGACAGAACGAGGTGAAACAGGCTGCTGTCTCTGGCAATTTGGATGCACCCGAAGGCGGCTTCGATGCCATCATGCAGGCGATTGCCTGTCGCCAACAGGTTGGCTGGCGGGAGCAGGCCCGACGCTTGCTTGTCTTCTCGACGGATGCGGGCTTCCATTATGCCGGCGATGGTAAATTGGGTGGCGTTATAACGCCCAACGATGGCGAATGCCATTTGAATGGCCAGGGCATGTACACGCATTCGATTATACAGGATTATCCGAGCATATCGCAAATAAATCAAAAGGTCAAACAGAATGCGATCAACATTATCTTTGCCGTCACACAGAATCAGTATTCCGTCTATCAAAAGCTGTCCGGACATATTGAGGGCTCATCCAGCGCCATTTTGTCCAATGATTCGTCCAATGTGGTCGATCTGGTGCGCGAGGAATATAGCGTAAGTGCTTCAATATGCATATCTGATGTTTTTATAAATATAAACGAGCATTCTATTGCAATTTCACAGAAAATCTCTTCGTCGGTGGAGATGAAGGACAATGCCATGGGTGATGTTAAGATCACGTATTTGTCCAGCTGTCTGACCAATGGACCACAGATTAAAACGAACAAGTGCAGCGGTCTCAAGGTCGGCGACAAGGTCACCTTCACCGCCCAAATAACGGTCACCAAATGCCCAGCCAATCCACGTGACTGGAATCAGGTTTTGTAAATCGTTTCAAATGATGTTTTCGTAGAAATTGACTTTAGCAAATGTCTTAAGCAGCGAACAGATTCAAGAGATGGTCGCAAATTCTTGTGCTCCTTTCACAGAGTAAACCTTCCTAGGAATGGAACAATGCCCAAATGAGAATAAATAACTTGTATATGCATTGATTGCAATCAAACCGGGTAATAACTGTAGGCAGAAGTCGGCTTCTTTCACTCCAAAAAGTAGATGAACTTCTGATCAATAGCCCCATCTGTCTGTCTGCTATCTGTTCGTCCATTTGGACTCTTGAAATTTCAAATATCAATTATTGTGTATTGATATTGTTCTGTTTTTATCGACAGCTTCTTCCATTTTCATCATATCGATAAATATCGATTTTAAGATACGATTTTAAGCATATTATGAGAATTATAGGAGCTCGTTTCGATAAATATCGATTTTATGAGAGAATCTTCTAGTCGGGCAGTCCCGTCTGGAGCACTCAACTGATTGTTTCTGATCATGGTGAACGGTATGCTCAAACTGATCCGTATTTTTCAGGTGATTCAAATCTATCCGGTGGGCATCAATGAAAGCATGATCATTGACCTGGAGATGCTGTGCTCGTGCCCCTGCGAGCATGCCGGCTCCACTGGCTACGAGATCCACTCGCAAAAATGCCACAACCATGGCACGTACATGTGCGGCATCTGTGAATGCGATGAGCAGCATTTCGGCAACACATGCGAGTGCTCCATGCTGGATGTGCACTTGAATAATGCCAACGTAAATATGTGCCGTCCCGGCAATGATACGAGTGTCGCCGAATGCAATGGTCGCGGCAGTTGTGTGTGCGGCGAATGCGAGTGCCATAAGCGTGCCAATCCCGAGGAGATCATCACGGGCAAATATTGTGAGTGCGAGAACTTTAGCTGTGAGCGTAGAAAGAATTTGCTATGCTCTGGGCCCGATCACGGCATCTGTGAGTGCAATCGCTGTGTATGCAAGCCCGGCTGGACGGGCAACAGCTGTGACTGCCAGACGTCAACGGACACGTGCATGCCACCGAACGGCGGTGAGATCTGTTCGGGTCATGGCACCTGCGAGTGCGGCGTCTGCAAATGCAAATCAACCGACGATGGCCGCTATTCGGGCAAATATTGTGACAAATGCCCCACATGCTCGGGCCGTTGTCACGAGCTCAAGGACTGCGTCCAGTGTCAAATGTATCACACGGGCGAGCTAAAGAATGGCGATGATTGTGCCAAAAATTGTACAACATTCACGCCCGTTGGCGTTGAGAAGGTCAAGATCGATGAGCACAAGGATGAGCAGCTGTGCGTCTTCTTCGATGAGGACGATTGCAAATTTACGTTCAAATATAGCGAAGTGGGTGAACTGGTTGTGCATGCCCAGGAGGAGAAGGAATGCCCGCCCAAGGTCTTCATGCTGGGCATTGTCCTTGGCGTCATTGCGGCCATTGTCCTAATTGGCCTGGCCATATTGCTGCTCTGGAAGCTCCTCACCACCATACACGATCGTCGCGAATTCGCGCGCTTCGAGAAGGAGCGCATGAACGCCAAATGGGACACGGTAAGCACATTGAGTCCATTTCAACAATTGCCAATATAATTATTATCATTGATATTGCAGGGCGAGAATCCTATATACAAACAGGCCACATCCACCTTCAAGAATCCCATCTATGCGGGCAAATAATTCGTAACGTCTGCCCATTGCTTTCTTTAGTGAAATTTGCCATTTAACAACCGACTGTCCCCTTATTAACTGTTTGCTATCGACACGCTTGTGCCCCCTACCCGCCTACCCCCTTCCGAGCCCACCAGCCACACAAATGAAGCAGCTTCTAAAAAAAAAAAATGAAAAAAACGGTGCGCGTGCAACATTTAACAAACAACAAAAACAAAATGCTTGGAAGAAAAGCCAAACTGCCATTGAAACGCGTTCGTAACTAAGTCAAAGTTTTATATAAACTATATATACACATAGCAAACGAATTGTGCCTTGCAATACATATATATATATATACATTTTAGATTTTATATATGTACTTGTATGTACGTGTTATACAACAACAGGAACAGCTTCCATTGCTAAACAGCCAAAACAAGCAACAAAATTTGGAACGCACAAACAACAATTGAACCACACGCATCAACTAATCAAAGAACGCAGCAAACGATCTACAAACAAATCTTAAAAACTATTTACTTATATGAAATCAACTGAAATCAACGAACGATCCACTATTCAAATATATTTCATCTGTGCAGAGTTCCAAAATCGCAAATATTCTAAAGCCAAGCAAAAACAATTGTTGAAAATGTCACATGAAATGCTTTTGGAATGCAAGATTTGCGCGTGCAGCAGCACATTATGAAAATGTAATACTTAATATGATTAATTCATTTAAATTTGTAACTTAAGTATTTGGCAACGACATTTCGGATCGTCTAATTTATTAATGTCCATGCAAGCTAGCAATGTATTTATTAGCTAAACGATCCAAAAACATAAACAAAACAGCAAAACTGAATTTATGCCAATTTCAAAAAAACAAAACTAAAAAAACAAACTGATTTTGTTAACTTTTATGGACTTACGCCCAATTTTTGTTTGCCGTCAATTCTTTCGTGTTTTTCTTATATGTATGTTTATTATTTTTTTTTATATATATATTTTTATTTTAAATCTAACTTTACAATTAATATTTAAGCGTATTAACATTTAAGCTTGTAATTGTTAATTTTATATGACAAACAAAAAGAAACCAACAAATTGTGGCCCGATTTATTTTATTTATGAACCGTCGAGAGGTTCGAGTTTCTTTTTAGGAATCGTGCCTTTTTCAATATTTTGATCATTAATAGTATAATTAAACATAAAACAAGAAGAAGAAACAAAAAAAAAATCAACATATTTTTGCGATTTGTACTGATTACTGATTAACAACAAAATAAAATGTATTTGAGTGTATAAAAAAAAAAACACGAAATGAAAGAAATGAGTAAATAATTGTTTATAAATACAAGGTGGAAACACTGGCAACTTTATTGAAATATCAAATAATAAACATATAATAAAAACAGTTTGAAGCTAATTGTAATGAAATAAAAAAAAAAAAACAGAAAAATAAATGTCGACTTTCAATGCAATTGAATTATAAAATATTAATATGTACGCAATTTCTTTCATATGCATATGCTGCATTCATTTAAAATTAACAATGCATAGAGTATATGTATATATATTTATGATCAGCACTGCGAACTGATCAAATTATGACTTTTATAAGCTAGTGGCCGTAAGTTTGAGATTTAAGGCAAATTATCGCTAAAAGCCTTGCCAGATATTTTGAAATAGTCTATCGAGTATCGATACCCTTTACAGTTGCAGTTAAATCGGCAGCTTGCCAAATTCAAATTCCATTGGTCGAGCTGTGCTGCACAGTGTGACCGCTGTATGCAGCGGAAGAAAATACCAGAAAATATGCTTATTGAGCGGCAAGCAACAGAGCTTAATACTGTGTGCTTTACATTTACAGTTACTTTTTAACATATGTATGTCAGGATGCTGCAATATATGCCGCATAGCTTGACACGGGCGCTGATTAACTATCAAAATGAGGAAGAAGAAAAGATATTAAGCCTGGCAGTCGATGCAGATGACAAGCAACGCTTAAAGCAAATGTATGCGGCACTCGTAAGTACGACAAAAAAAAAGAAATCAATACAAAGATCGCGCTAGTTCAACACGAAACTCAATTTCCATAGAAAATCAAGAACAGCGATTTGAGACGAAAGCACAGTGCCGCCGAGGTGAACATGTTATGCCGCCGAACCAAGCTGCGCGTTAATATGACGCTGTTCAATTGTGTGTGGGACGCCAAGCGGCGACTGCCGCGTAAGGATCGTCTGGCCAAGCGTTCCGATAGCTACATCAATGCCATGTTGATCAGGGCTGTGCACAGGCGTGAGGTAGTGCCCTATACGGACGACGAAATAGCCAAATGCAATCACATACGCAGCTGCCAGCTGAAGAAAGATAATAACTGCCGGCTCGATCGTTGGCGCTGCAAGCAAAAGTACAGCGAATCGGCAGCTCTGCAGGAAACGCGGCCAGAGGACGATGCTCCGCTCAGTGTCAGCGATATTGGTGATTCGCAATTGTATCATTCGGAGACGTTGGAGCTTAATAATGAGGTCTGCGCACTGGATGCCATGCACATCAATAGCCTATCAATGTCCATCGATACACAGTTGATGCAGACGCCAACTCCTGAGCTGGCGAGCAATGATGAAGATTGGGCACTCGATGCCATGCTACTTAATATCGAGTCCATGTCCATTGATGCACAGTCAACCCAAGAGCTGGACAATGACATGCCTCTCAAGGCCGAGTCAATTACCAAAGATATGCAGCTGACACAGACGCCAAACCAACAGCTAGAAGATTGGGCAATAGATGCCACGCTCCTTAACACCGAGTCATTTGACATTAATGCACAGTTGACACGAGCCCAAATCCAAGAGCTGGAGAACAAGATTGATAACTGGGTACTCGAAGCCCTGCTTCTTAATACCGCATCAATTGCCATTGATAAACAGCTGATAAAGAAGCCGAACGAGGAGCTGGAAAATAACCATAATGTAGATTGGGCAATGGATGCAATGCTCATTGATAAACAATTGACACAAACTCCATCGCAGAGTGTGGGGCATAAACTCGAAGACTGGGCCAGGCTGCTCCACACCGAGTCCAGGACTACGAATACGCAGACGCCAGCCGCTGACCCTGCTGGACAATTGTGACGCATATGCCACGACACATACCCTACAGTTCCTACCAAGCAATCGAGCAGACTAATCCATAGTTATAAAATGCTATATCAAATCTAGACTAAAAGAATCTGAGATGAGATTTAAACCTAAGTTTTAATTGAGAATTTAACAATTTGTTGTAAGGTCTCGATGCCTAATTGAGTATTACGCAGAACTATAGAAGCCTTGAGTTTACGTTCTTAATATCAAATGAATTCTATCTCCAAAGCAACTTGTTTCGTAGCACTTAAGAACTGTTTAAGACAAGTTTCAATTAAATCAATTAGGTTTAAGTATGCTCAAGCATTATGGATTGCCATGAAAACTCGAAATCATTGTTAAGTTTAAACTAAAATTTATCTAAAGTAGCTGTTATTGTGCCTGATCATATTTGAAAACTGTTTGTGAAAGTGCTCTTAGAGAAATGCTGCAGAACTTGCGAGTTTATTTTTGTTAAGTAAGCTTTTCTTCTTGTCAAGATCTCTAAGAACTGTTTGTGAGCGAAATGCATTAGTTCTAGTTTGTTTTCTTCCTCGTTGAAATGAAATAATTTATATTTTTTACTAGTCGCTCAACTGAACAATCATAATACCTGTTGTGATTGATAATATTTAGGAAGTGTTCTTCGGAGAAGAACTTGCGAGTTCCTTTTTGTTAAATTCATCGTAAAGATAAAAACCAATAACTTTTAAGAGTCGTCCATGTTAACGAGAATAAGACCTGTTTTTTTTTTGGGCTAATATTTGATAGTTTTTTTATGAACAGAGAAGAGAGTTGAGTTAATGATGTTTCGTGAAAATTATTTGATTTTTGGGTTTTGTTTATTGAATAAAAAAACAAAATATGTTTTCTCAACAAGTCTGGGCGCTGCTATTATCTACACAATTATAAAATCTTTATAAGTCTATGTACATAACCATAGAATTATGAATAACACATGTTAGCCGTACATATATATATATACATATACATGTATATAAATATACATATAGAGAGATACACATATATATATGTATATTTATATATATACACATTTGTGTGTGTGTGTGTGTGTGTATGTAAGTGTGTGAGCTTAGGCTCGCCATAGACGCCTTGGCGTGATTAGAACACTCCAACTTAAGTACGTTCCACAACAATATAAAGGAGCTAACGATGGGTACACAGACATAGTTGGGCATTGGCTATTCCGTCTGCCCATATGCAATTGAAGGCATCTTGTGAACGCCAGTCTATGGCTCTGGACATACATAGAGATATCTTTGCATTGATTGCTCTTGGAGCGTCTGAGCAGACAGGCAGGCAGGCGGGCGGTCGGGCGGGCGGGCGGTCGTTCGATCGGGCAGGCAGGCGTTGGGCAGACAGTCGCTGTTTGTTGGTCTGTTTGATAACGCTTTGGCAACCAGGTAACTGGTAACAGGTGACACTTAGTGAAAGATCAAATCTGCGTCGGGTGCACCCTTCTGATGCTTGAACTTGTGCTTGTTGGGCTTCTGGTAATAGCTCTGTGTAAAGTTGCGCTGTTGCAGCGGCAGCAGCGACTCCTGATAATCCTCCTCCTCGATGCGTTCGGTTATGTTTAGCGTAAGGCGTTTCACTTTCTCTTTCTCCTCTCGCGTCTTCTGCTCCTGAAGCCTTAGATTGATGGCCAGCTGTGAGTCCGATGGGGCCACAAATGACTTGAACTGCTGCTTGCCGCCCTTATTGCCGCGCACCATCAGCACAAAGGATACGGCACCGCTGCCCTTGCTGCCGCTGCCGCCGCCGCCGCTGCCACCACCCTCTGCGGCGGGCGTATCGCTGCATGCGGCTGCGTTAGCTGGTAAATTGTTGGCGCTATCCGAGGCATGGGCATGGGCGTGGGCATTGGCATTGGCGGCAGACGCGGCGGCAGCGTTGGCGCAGCCCTTTGAGATCTGTGGCACGTTGTTGCCCATTATCTGATCGTAGGATTTCTTTTGCAGGCGTGCCATCATGGGCACAGGTATATCTTTGTTGGTGGCTTTGAGTGGCGGCTCCTTGAGACGCTCCTGATACGAATCGCTGGTCATCTTTTCGTACATTTGCTCAAATTCAAGATCCTCTTTGGATTTCTCTGGCGGCGGTGGCGGCGGCGCTGGCTCCGCCTCATATTCAGTCCAATCGTTCGCCTGATCGGCCTCCGAGCCACCAGCGGCCTGACGTTCGCGCTGATCATTCGATGAGCCAGCAGAATCATCCGTTACCTAAACGTAATTGAAACGCGGAAACATTAAGTATCGATCGAATCTTTGGAACGGTCATTAAAACTTTGTCCATGCAACTTACGCCTTCGTCCAATTCGTTGATTTCGCTAATGGTCGTCAGGCTGGCATCCTGGGCATTATTGCTGGCCTTAAGCTGCGGATACAGTTGCTCCTGTAGCTGATCAATGGCCTCCTTGGCCTGCTCCAGATTCTTATACAGCTTGAGCTTGGGTCGCACGCCGGCCAAACAGTCGCGATAGGTGTGATCGACGAGAATGGGAAACAGATCCGAGGTGTTCTCCGATTTGCTGAATACCGGATGCGATTTCTTGTGCCAATAATAGTGCTGAAAGAACACCAAAAAGTAGTCCAATCTGTGAAGAGAATTCAAAATAAGTTGGAATTAGGTTTAAATTATGGGTGAAGAAATATTGACGGGACTTACTTTTTGCGCGTGGCCTGGCTGGTAAAGTAGGGGCCACAGGTGTCCAGCAGCATGCAGGCCAGCTTAAGGCGAAACAGACTCTCGGGCGGATCCAGCGGCGAGATCACAGACTGATCCAATGTCACGCCGAGCGATATTATCGAATACAGTGTATTAAGTATATGTGTTGACTCGACCAGCTTATAGTTATACATCTCGCCCAGATATTTGGCCATGGCGATGCGACGCTGCGACATCTTGGGCGAGTGTATCTCCAGTCCGGCGCGTATATCCTCAAACACGTTGTCAATGACAATGGTGACAGCGCGCGGCTGATACGAGCTCAGCCCAGAGACCAGATCGGCCAGGCAGCGTATGAGCGGAAAGCGCAACAGATATGCCTTGCTGAGACATTTGATGGCATAGCTGCTTATCTCCGGATCCTGCCAATTGATGCGTCGCAGCATTTTGATGCAACGCTCGACATTCTGTTTGCACAGCTCCTCAAAGATCAGATGTCGTATATACTCATGCATGGGCGGACGCGGTGTCATCTCGCGCTTAGCCGATTCTGGCGGCTTAACCAAATAATAGACGCTCTCGATTTGTGCCGCATGACGTGAATCCATGGCGGTTGCCGTCTTCATGCGTAGCATTTGGTCGAGAAAAACGTTCATCAAGAGCCGCGAATCACGGCAATTGTATAGATAGACACCGCTGACCTCCACAAAGGCGCACGCCATCTCGATGTGATGGTGTATAAAGTCGCGCAACAGCATCTTCAGGCAGCCGAGGGCATCGAATTTCTTGAACAGCCCAAACTTGACCAGTTCGCCAATGAAGCGGACAATCTTCAGCTTTGACTCAATATTCAGTTGGTTCTTCTTGCGTATATGCCATTTGAATTCCTTGCGCAGCAAATCGGACAGATCGGCAGCCACGTCCGTATTGCACATATGCACAATTGCCACAAATCGCGACAGATATGGCAATATATCGAGCCGCGTACGCTGCACGCTAAAAATCGTCTTGGTTAGCTTCTTGCGCTGATGCTTTGTATTATAATTGAGCAGAAATTCTATTGCCGCCGAATCGATAAGCTCCTTGTTAACGCAATTGAATAGATTCAGGAGGAACACGTCGAATTGCTGGCGCAGCTGTTGGCTCTGCGATTGTGCCTGTTGTTGTTGCTGCTGCATGGGATCAGTCAGAGAGAGAGAGAGAGAGAGAGACAGAGAAAGAGAGAGAGAGAGAGTGAGAGAAAGAGAGAGATGTGTTATATTATTAAAATTCGAACGTGTCCCCCTTCCTTTTCCACCCATTTTTCGGCTGTTACAGTGGATTATCCAAAAAGTAGTCAAACGCATCCAATATTAACTTTTAACTTTCGCTAGTTTACACCAAATACTGTACATTTCACACATTTTCCACGCGTTGCGGTGAATTAGTTTAGATTGATGAAAAAAAAAAACGAGGTTTTTACATGAGCACAAGCTATACTTTTTAAATAGGAGTATTCCGATTGGAGCGGAATCTTAATTGTGCTTAACATGAATCTAACTGGCCTATCGACCGATCGTTCCTATTTCGTGCAAATGATATAGCTTTCTCATAGCCTTAAGACTAAGCGACTAGTTTGCAGACAGACAGACAGATTGATCGCTTCGGTTGTTGATACTGCTCCAGAATATATATACTTAATGGGTTGAGAGATGCATCTATCTTAAACTTGATTAGGGCTCTATATTGATGGCCTACTCACCGTTTGCTGTTGTTGTTGTTGCTGCTGCTGCTGGCGACCCAGTTCCATGAGTGCGCTGCCCATTTTCTTGTCAATCAGCACAGCGGGTGCAGTAGCTGCAGCTCCGGCGGTAGCAGCTGCCTCTGCCGTGGGCGTGGCAGCTGTTGGCTGCTCCTCCTGCTCCTTGTCGAGGGCCGTGTCGCTGGCCGTTGAGGGCGGATCATCCATGTCCAGTTCCGCATCGATATTGGCATCGATGGCCTCCTCGGTCAGCTCGCTGGGCTCTTCTAGTGTCTCCAGATCGACTTTGGGTGCCGAAAAGTTGGGCAGAAACTGACGCAAATCGGGCAAATCAGTGTAGAAAGCGCGCGTCTCCTCATCGCCCCAGGGATCCAGTGTGCCAAAGGCGGCGCTGTCCAGCATATTGTCAATGACAGTGCCCGGATTGCAGCATTCGGATTCTTTGGTCAGCTCCGGCAGCGGTTCGCCCAACAGCTCCGACAGCGATTGGGCCGAGGCGAGCAGCTTGTCAAAGCTCGCCTGCATCAGTTCACATTTCTCGCGTTTCTCCTGGCTTATTTCACCCTTGCACTCCATGGTGCGGCGTATGTTTTTGGTCATGTTCATCAATGCGGCCTGCTCGGCCAGTACGTGCTTGCAGAGCGCCTTAAAATAGCCCTTGAGCATGGTGCGTAGATTTAGCTGCTTGTCGGCGCTCAGAAAATCCGATTTCGGCACCTCCACCTGATATTTGTTGGCCAGCTGTTGCATCTTTTGTGGCACCAGCCCAGCATATTCCTCGCCGCAATGGCGGCAAAACGATAATATTATGGAAAAGTTACTATGATCATCCTTGTCCTGGGCTATCAGCTGCACCAGCACCATGCCCAGCAGCGCCAAGCCCGGCTTCATCTGGATGACACCAGAGCTGACCAGCTCGGCGAACAGACGCAAATCCACGCGCAATTTACTCGGATTGCTTATCTTCTCGGTAGCCTTGATATTAAGTGCCTTCTGCCATGCCTCGAGAAACTGCGTATTGAAGTCCGCGTAGGTGCAGTGCAGCTTGGAGGCCAATGTAACCACAGCGGGCACATCTGTCATCTTGAGCTTGGCCTCGGCCAGTGCAGCACATATTTCGGAAATATATTTGCTTAGATTCAAAGCGGAGAGTTCGCGCAGCAGCGCCTCCAGCTGTGTGCTCGTAAAGACTTTCAGCTTCTTCACAAATGCCGTATTCTTCTTTAGGCTAGAGTCAAGGCGCGCAAAATACTCATCGCCGGGCAGCTCAAAGTTGGCATTCTGCTGGCGCAGCTGACGCTTTGCGTCGATCTTCTCCTGCAGCTCGCCGATAAACTGATTCAGTTCGGCCAACCTCTCCTCAGCCTCCAGTGTGCCAGAGTCGTCAGTCGCAATGGCAGCCGCTGTTCCTGTGGCGGCATCCGATGTTTCGGCATCCGCCTCGCTGGCGGCCGCACTTGACGCTGTTGTTGCTGTTGTTATTGTTGCCGCTGTAAGCGCCTCGCTTGGTTTGTTGGCGCTCATGGCATCGAATTTGGTCGTACTCCGCTATTTTAAATATTATTCGCGTGTTGTGCAAATCGCTCAATCAAACCCGTAGTATTCGAACTGTGTAGACTGTCACATTCGTATGTGATTTGATTGGGTTGCCTTCGCCTGCTTTCTTTCAGCCAGCGTTTCGTTTCGATTTGCAAGTGTTGTCTACTGTTTTTTTTTTTTTAACGTTGACCGTGTTCGTCGTGGGGCACATCGCACATCTGTGTGTTAGTCATGTGTATACACTCACACTGCGGCATGCCGTGCGTGACACGAATCCATGAGGATGTGCCTGCCCTAACGATTAATTGTGTTAACACATATATGGAAAATCAATTTGTTATGCTTTTTAAATATGTCTTCAAATATCCGACATATCTAATTTTTTTTAGTGTATTTTGTGTTTAATTTTCAAACAATTATGAAATATTCTCAAATTTTAAGTAATTGTGTTTTTATTTTTTAATTCAAGAAACACGATCAATATATCGATGTTGATATATCGATATTAATTCACTCCATTTTGGCGCTGCATTCAAACTGCAAATTAACGACTCATTTGCTCTTATGAATATGTAAGTAAAATAAGTAGTTGTCTGCCCTAATTTTGCTTGTCGTTAAGTTGGACATTGAACTTAAAGCATAGCACAATACACTCAATGCCATTGATTTTACAAAAGGCAGGCTATCAACAACCACAGCGGGTACTTAGTTACCAAGCCAAGTTAAATCAATAATAAAGTCAATAGCCAACAATGCGTCGTCTTTAGTTGCGGAATTTCAGTGTTAAACTACAGTTACCATACTGGCTGTCAGTGCATAGGCCATTATTTGCAAATGCTCTGCTGGGCGACCGAGGATAATTTATCAAGGCAACGAAATCCAAATCCACAGAAGGCGCCCGAAACACTCAAGAATCTGCTATTGCGCTCAAGTGTGCCCATTGTGAGTGATCAAGCACAAAACCTATTGGATGCAATGGCACCACTGAAGGGTCATGAGATTACCAAAAATCAAAAGCACTTATATCTTGAAAATCGCAAATTTGATCATCGTTTGGTCAAGGATAATCTGCTTGATAAATGGCCCACAGCGGACATGAACGAGTACAAAGAGCGCAAGGATCATCGCAATCTCATGGAATCATATGTATCATCTATCAACCTATCATATCTGACCAGCACCAGGCACGCACTAAGGACATAAAAAGAACATTGATTAATGCAATATGTACAGCAGTAGGCTCTGATTTATTATCTAATGCTAAGTATATTTGTATTATTTAGTTATCTTACAATCTCGCACAACTTCATATCGTGTAGGAATTTTTTTTCGCGCCGTAATTTTTTTTTTTTTTTATTTTATCTTTAAAGTAGTTGCACTAAATTCCAAGTAGTTAAAATTTTCGGAGTATCAAGCACAGCAGCAATAATGTCGAACCAGCACGATGGAAACACTGCGTTGCCGACACAGGGCGTCATGTATTCTCAATTGCAGCCATGGAGCCATGCGGGTGCGCCGCCCTGCATGGAGCCCATCAGTGGTGCGACGGTGCCATCTCGCCTGGCCGCCTCCTATGAGACAACGCAGCGGCATCCGTGGCGGCCCAAAATGGCATTCGAGATGATCGAGGTGAAGCATATGCCGGAGCAGCCGGTTACCAATCAGATGACGCAGCCATGCTTTGTGCCGCAGGGCATGAAAACGGAGGGCATGATATTTCCGAATCTTGTTACCGGATTCGAGCGCAATCCACAGCATGCGGCACGTGCCGCACTCTACACGCGCTACACCAACAACGAGTGGCACAACAATAATCTGGGCATCTACGGCGAATCCAACACGAATCGGTGAGTAAAATTTCGATGTCTATATGGAATGCTGTCCACTCAACTGTAGCGTAGCAACATGTCGGAGCGCATGCGCAATGATGCAGTGCGTCTGATGCGCGAGACGGACGAGACGGCATCGATGGGCCAGCGGGACGCCGGACGTCGTTTGGGTGAACGCATTACGGATTTGACATTTTGGCGCAACGAGCTAAATGCCGAGCTGGAGAAGTTGATTGGCGAGATGTCCGGCATCAATGAGCTGCAGCGGCAGTGCGGCAAGGCGATGCTGGACCTGGAGATACCGCTGCACATCGCCCAGGAGTGTCTATTCCATCGCGAGGGACGCCAGGGCATGGAGAAGGTGCATGATAATGTGGAGAAGGCGCTACTGCTGGAGATCAATCATTTGCGCAATTCGCGTGATCGCCTCAAGGAGCTGCACGAGAAGATTGCCAAGCAGGCGATCGACTGCCGTGGCGCCCAGCATTTGCTGGAAATCGATGTAACACAAAAGGAGTCCACCATGGGCATTGACTCCATGTGCCATCGCCTGAACAACTTTAGTCGCGGCATCACCTATTACGGTGGCATCGAGAAGTACGATCCGACTGTCAGCACCCAGGACTCCTGGGCACTGGCCAGCAGTGAGCATGTCAAGCGGTAAGAGATGACATTTTATTTTCCATTTTCCCATATAATGCCTATCAATGGCATTCGAATTCAGTTCGCAGGCGGAACGCGCCAAGTTGTCGCAGCTGCGCAGCGACTCACAGAACGTGGTCAATGCCGTGGCCTCCTCTGTCTGGGACTTCTGGAACAATACGAACAATGCGCTGGATAGGCGCGCCCAGGAAATGGCCGGCGCGAAGAGTCGCGTACAGATGCATCTACAGAAAGTGCAGCAGGAGCTGTTCGATATGGAGAAACATCTATTTCTGCTGCAGAAGGCCATACAGGACAAATCGAATCCGCTTAAGGTGGCGCAGACTCGCCTCGAGGCGCGCTCTCATCGTGAGGGCATGGAGCTGTGCAAGTAAGTTGTGAATTAATTCATGTTTAGCTGTGTATGCTGGCGCTCACCTGCCGTATTCTCGTCCAGGGACACTGCACACGATCGCCTTGTGCTGGAGGTGCAGGACTTGCAAGGCACTGTCGATGTGCTACATCATAAGCTGCAGCAGGCGGAGGCCACCCATCAATCTTTGCTAAAGACCCGCTGCATCCTGGAGGAGGATCTGCGCAACAAGGTCAACGCCTTGTTCATCGATCGTGAGAAGTGCATGAGTTTGCGTCGCTCCTTTCCCATAACCAACCTGATTCGTTATTGATCAACGTTTCGGTAACTATTTTTCTTTTTGTTCGTTTCAAATTGTATCACGTGGTAATGTCTAGTGTAGTCCTTATACACAAATATAATATACATATGCATATGTGTTTGCAAGTTTCTATGGTGTTTCTACCGGATTTTGTCGCCCGTTGCAACGAATTACCGCTATCTTGGGCAAACCTTATTTGTGTCCTCAGCATCGAGCTATCGATGCAGCTGTAATCGATAATAAATGCTAAAGAGTCTGAGTCGTGTCTATTTTACTAAGCTACATTTATCAGGATTCCATTCGTTCCACGAACAAACTTTTTTCTTCGTATTTTTTTTAAATGCAGGCAATTAAAAGTGGCGGCACGATTACACCGCGTGCGATGAATTTCTAGGGCTCAACTATCGCAGCCCGTGCAATGCCAGCTTTAATTTAAAACGATATATCGATGACTGAAGTCGATAACTTGCTATTCGCCTTAGCGCGCGCCTATCATCGACACCATTTTGTTTTTTTTTTTTTTTCAATCTGACAGTGTCAACATAATATTGTTGCAGGAGTTGTGCGGATTAACTTTGTTTATTGAATTAACTTTTCTAAAATACGACAGTTTTGTGAGGTTTTGATAAGATTAACATCGGCATAAGCGGCCTATAAACTATATTTTTAAGCAGCATACGCATATGCAGTAAAATCTGAACAGTTTTTCGAGAAGCCCAACAGATATTCAATATTTTCTTATTAAACTTTTTGCTAGATGTTTGTTTCGGGTTGCGAGAGAGCATTTAAGTTCTGCATCGCATAAGCGGCACGTTTCAGTAGACGCACATATTTCGCTTGGAATAGCACAAGATTAATTCCAGCTGAAATGGTTGCTTAGTGCATTTGAAAAGGTGTTGTCAGTTACGAGAGCTCTGCACTGTGGGTGAAAAGAACTATTGCATTTAAATTGCCAGCAAAATGATGTGGGAATGTAAAGAACTTCACCCAAATTTATCATAATATTTTTAATTGGTGGCTAACAAATTGCAGACAATCTCTTAACAGATCTTAAACATACCCAATTGGGATTTCGACGCACCATTTGCTGCCTGCAAATGTGTTTTAAAATTGTGAACCGAACTTTGGTACCGTTTGTCATTTAAAGCGCAGCCAACTTCACTGCAAGCTGTCAATCGATATCTGCAAATTGCAGTTCTCCCCATTCCGTGATTTCATTTAAATAGAAAACAAATGGATACACTGGACAATGTGAGTGTCAATGCATTGAAATGAAATTGGCAGCTAAGCATTATTAAACAAAATCTTTTATTAGGAGATAGACTCCATAGTAGAGGACTGCTGTCAGACGACCGATGATTTTGCGGATCTGTACTATAATTTTATTGACAGTCGACGCGATGTACGTACATACATCAATCAACAATGGGCATATTTATTGTCATATTATGATATTTGATTCTTGCAGAAAATGGGTAATTTCTATTTAGATAGCGCTAAATTGACCTGGAATCACAACGAAATACTGGGCCGTCAGGCCATCCAAAAGGTATTCTTGGACTTGCCACCGTCGCGTCATGAACTGCAAACGCTCGACTCTCAGCCGTTCCTCTACTCCTTGGGGGGTCAGCCCACGTATATCATAATGACCAGTGGAACTGTACTGTACGTTGGGCAGCCGTTGCGCGCCTTTAATCAGTCCTTTGTTATAGCCCAGGAGAACAACAAATGGAGTATCACCTCGGATTGTTATCGCCTGTTATAGGTTCTTTGATTATCAGTTGATGTACAACAAAAATATATGGTCAATAAATTGATGTTTTTAAAGCTATTGTCAGCAGGGAGGCATAGCAACAACTAACTTGTTCAAGTGTGTTCAACAGTTATTCTTTACTGACAGCAAAGCAAAAGTGAACCTTGCGTAAGGTTTTTATTCCTTACTAATATATTAAAAAAGATGTTTCATTACTCGTCTAGTTGGTTTAATCATTGCAACGGATAGGCAAATAGGAATTTAATATTATTGCTGTGCCAGCAAGCAATTAATGCGATTTCATCGATAATCATATATCGATAATTGCAAAGTCGATAGATCGCTATTCGCCTTGACGCGCGCCAATTATCGACGCCATTTTGTTTTGCTCAAACTGACAGTGACAGCTTACGCATTTTGTCGCAGCAGTTGTACGAAGTTAGTTCTTTAACCCTTTGCTAACTAACGAGAGCTGCTTTTTTCGGCAAGCGTAACATCAGCTGCATTGAGCTTGTTGTAAGTTGTAAATGATTACAATATAAAGCAGGACACCAGAGTTCCTTAACAGGTCTTTAATATTTCTTATGGGTCACTGCGTGACTCTCCATTTCGTTTATGTTTTTATACCCTGAAATACACTGTAAATGACTGAAAAGGGTATATTACTTTTACCCTTTTTTTATTAAAAGGTGACAATTATTTTCAATGCATAATCTCTCAACAGATCCTTAACGTCTCTTAGCGGGAACACAAAGCCCCATTTGCTGCCTGCAAGGGTATTCGTAACTGTGAACTGCATTTATGTCAATCGAAGCGCAGCCAACTTCACTGCGAAACTCGCCGAAATCTGAAAACTGGAGCCCTACTCACTCAGTGAAATACAAACGCGATGAATAACGTGAGTTTTTTGAAATGAAATTTGAAAAAGAGAGGTGCTATCAACGTGAATAACTGTCATTAGGAGCTTAAGGCCAATCTGGAACTGTGCGGCCGTACGGCCGTAGACTTTACGGGCTTGTACTACGCCTTTCTGGACAATCGGCGCGATGTACGTACGCGATGTATTACGGCAATTGCGAGCGTGGCTTGCAGCAGTTCATTTTGTTGATTATTGCAGGAAATGGGCTATTTCTATTTGGACAATGCGAAATTAACCTGGAATGGCATGTGCACATATGGCCGCAATGCCATTGAACAAAAGTTCTTGGAATTGCCGTCGTCGCATCATGAGCTGAAAACGCTGGACGCCTTACCCATGCCGGCCTCCATTGTGGGGAATCAGCTGACAACCACGATCCTGGTCGGCGGAATCGTCCAGTATCCGGGGCAGCCGATGTGCACCTTCAATCAAGTCTTTCTCGTAACCTCTGAGAGTGATAAATGGAAAATCTCCTCCGATTTGTATCGCGTTAAGCAGCCAATAAACTAATCTTCTCTCTATATATAAACTGACGTGATTGCCGATCAAAACGCAGCCCAATCCCGACCTAAGTAGGAGGCTGGAACGGGCCTCGTTTACCTATGCTCAAATTTGTTTGAGGCGTGTTTCACACTTTTCGCAAAATTCATCCCTTCGGGATGGAAATGATTTGATGGCTGAAGTTTTCGGTTTTCCAATTTATTTCAGAAGCGAGTTTTCGGAGGCCAACCATTTTTCAAAACACAACATAAAAACATAATGAACATAATGTTTCAGCGATTTGATTTAGCAACTCTTCAACTTTTTCAAACTGTTTCAAACTAATTTTCATTTTCTCATAAGATGCTCATGCATAACATTGTATAGGTGTTTGCATGTATACATATATGTATGCATCCATGTATACATATATGTATGCATGCATGTATGCATGCATGTATGCATGCATGTATGCATATATGTATGCTTGTAAGTATGCATGCATGTATGTACGTATGCGTATATGTATGTGGGTATGCTTGTACGTACGATGTTTGTATGTATGTATATAGATATAAAGGTGTATATGTATGTATGTGTGAATGTATGTGTGTATGCATGTGTGTATATGCATGTGTGTATAAATTATGTATGAGTGTATGTTTGTATGAATATGTGCATGCGTGTAAAGCCCTACTAAGCGATTCTCATGAATTCAAGTATATCTCATAGACTTCACTTCAAGTAAAGGAGGCAGGAGGAGACTTAACTTAGGAGGGGCAGCAGCTTGAACAAAAGAGGAGATGTCGGCGTTAACTATAGAGTAAGCGGCTTCAAAGTCGATTAATCGCTATTCGCTTTAACGCGCGCCCATTATCGACGCCATTTTCTTTTTGTCAAACTGACAGCTTTCGCTGCTGATGTATTTTGTCGCAGGAGTTGTACGAAGTGAGTTCTCAGTGCGGGTTCAATAAACCATTAACAATTTGTTCTTAAATAACGTGAGTTTTTTTGTGAATTTTGACAAGGATTACATCGGTTGAGACGGCATTGAGCTTTTCATAAGCTATGAATCATATCAATTTTAAGCAGAGAACCCGTATGCAGACAACTTAAAAAGATTTTAACTGTCTGCTGAGTGCTAAGAAATGCGTCATTCGAAGTAGTTGCAAAAGTTCTACATGAATTTCTAATTACGGACTATTGTCGCAAAAAGTGCTGCCAATTTCGCTAAAACGGCTGTGAAATGGAATAACATTAGTTAGGATATTAAGGCCCGAGGACTTCACGGCCTTAAATAACGCCTTTTTGGATGCGATGTACGTATGCCAACACGGGTAGCTGTAAATTTACCTTTGTATTTATTTGAAATCTTATCAAAATACTTATCATAATATACAAAACGTCAGTTTTATCAACCAAATGGGAATTTGTAAGACGCCATGTTTATCTGATGAGCTTAACAGAAATATATCGATTAATGCAAGCTCGATAAATCGCTATTCGCCTTGACGCGCGCCCCGATAATATATCGAAATCTTTCTTCTCAGCTTGAAGGCGAAAGCACAAGGTGCTGCGCAACGTGTGCGCGACCAAAAATACCTTGATAGTTTTGTCAAAAGCAGCAAAAACTGTTGTGTCAGATCATAAACAAATCACAATTTAATGCAGGCAAAGCATTTACAGTAAACCCTGAAGAGTTGTCGGTTGAACGGTACTTTAGCAGCTCTAATTGATTTGCCTAATAAATTTGCCATTTACCTTGGAAAAGGGAGCACCAAGCCCAATTTGCTGCCTGCACAGGTATTTAAAACTTTCCTGTCGGTCATCAATTTCGGCAAATCAGTGGATACGCAAAGTCAACCTAAAAACGAACGGAATGAACAGAGTAAGGTGCTAAATTTGAAGTAAGTACTATTAATACATGAACTTTATTAGGATTTAAGGGCAAAAATCGAAGCATGCAATCGCACAGCCGAAGAATTTACGCGTCTGTACTACGCCTCTTTGGACAATCGGCGCCATGTACGTATGCCAGCCGGCAATTGCTGCACTTAACAAATGTATAAGTTTTTCGTGGATTTTTAGCAAATGGGTCGTTTGTATATAGAGAGTGCTAAACTAACATGGAATGGCAACGGCGCACTGGGCCGTGAGCCCATTGAAAAACAGTTCTTAGACTTGCCGCCGTCGCGTCATCAGCTGACAACGCTGGATTCTCAGCCCATCCTTGACCCGGCTGTGGGCGATCAGATCACGTATATGGTTCTGGGCAGCGGAACGGTCAAATACGCTGAGCATCCGACGTGCATCTTTCAGCAATCCTTTGTCATAACCGCTGAGAATGATAAATGGAAAATCGCTTCGGATTGTTATCGCCTGCAGGAGCCGATAATTTAAACAATTTACCGATTCGAAAATGTTATCATTAAAAAAAAAAAAGAAAGAATTCTATTATAAAGCCTATGGCAACAGCGAACTTGTACTGATATTTAGTAAATTCTCTTGACTTTTTGGTTTTTAGTAATTTTTATTAGAAATCATACAAACTCAACAGCTCATGTTAATTGAATTGGCGCACCAATTTGAATTCGGAGCGCAGCCAACTTCAAGTGTCAGCTGTTATTTTTCTCGATACGTTGCAATTGCAACCCTTCTCACTTGGTGGTGGTTGGGCCATTTCGAATAGGCAAGAAGTAAACGCGATGAACAACGTGAGTTTTGAATTAATTTCAATTATAATTGAAATATTGTATGCTTATTGTCTTTCATTAGGAGCTCAAGGCCAAAGTGGAAGCCTGCTGTCGCACGGCCGAAGACTTTACGCGTCTATACTACGCCTCTTTGGATAATCGGCGCCATGTACGTACGGCCATGGCCGGCAAAACAAATATATTTTGTTCTATTTACGATTTTCGTTTTTTAGCAAATGGGTCGTTTGTATATAGACACGGCCAACTTTAGCTGGAACGGCAATGGAGCTCAGGGGCGGGAGACAATCGAAAGGTATTTCTTGGAGTTGCCGTCGTCGCGTCATCAGCTGACCACGCTGGACTCACAGCCCATCCTTGACCCGGCTGTGGGTGGTCAGACCACGTATATCATCTTGGCCAGCGGGACGGTCAAATATGCCGAACAGCAGATGCGCACCTTTCAGCAATCCTTTGTCATAACCGCTGAGAATGATAAATGGAAAATCGCCTCGGATTGTTATCGACTGCAGGAGCCCATAAATTAGTGTCTAATATATCTAGTTATAACTAATGTCAAGCAAAAAAGAAAAAGTTTATTGAATTATGCTCTTAAAGCTATTTTGCCCATAGTAGGGCATGTCAACACAACAAACATAATTAAGTGTATTTACGTGAAGTAACAAAAACTCAAGGATAAGACTAAACGATATAAAAACAAAAACCTAAACTATAAACTTGTATGTTGCTATGCCAATATATATATTATATGTGCCTATATGCCAACAGCGCAACAGCCGGAGACGACGATGTCGTTTAGCCGAGATGCGTTCGCCTTTCGTCCTTTGGTCCTGTCGGCCGCCATCGGCTATTTCTGGCCACGGCCACACACTCGCGTCACAACAATCGTCCAGTCAGCACGTGCAGCAAGGAGCGCTGCTGCTCTCAACTTGGCCTCGGTTTGTGCATTTACAATTTGCATTGGCTTAAGCAAACAATTCAAAAAAAAAAAAGAAAGAAAAATCAAATATACAAAAACGCATCGGTAAAAAGTTAACTAATAAATTGCGAGACGTGCAATTGCAACAAGTTGGGAGCCAGACAGCACGCCCACCCACTGCCGCTGGCCCAGCGACTGACCTTGGCCTAGTTGGCCCCGCGCACAGCAACAGCCAGAGCCACTTAAGGGTTAATTGCATTTGCCTGCTTGCAGCTGCAGCACATGGTTGAGGAGGTTGGCTGCTTGAGACAAACTGGCGGCATCGGCATTCTCGCTGGCATGCCCACTCCGAGCACTTCGTCTGCAACTGGCAGCACAGCTGCCGTCGCTGCCGGTGTCTCCGGTCCAAATACCGCAACTGGGACTGCCCATCATCAGCATCAGCAGCAGCACCAGCAGCAGCACCAGCAGCAGCAGCAGCAGCAGTTCCATCTGCATCATCAGCAGCATCAGTTGGCCAGCAATATGAGCATGCTGAATGTGAAGAGCGGCGCTGGCGGTCGCTATTTGTGGACAGATCGGGAGCTGCTCATGCATCTGCAGAACTATACGCCGCTCATACTGCTCATCGATTTTGTGGAGAAGACGCGCACCAAGCGCTTCTATGAGAGCTCTGAACGCTACGAGATACTCATGCTGGTGTTCATCATGCGCAAGGGTGCGCCATTTTGTGAGAATAAACGCTTTCCGGCCGAATATTGGGTGAATCTGTCCGTTGGCCCCGTTGCCGAGGCCTTTGATCGTCTGCAGGCGGCCATCGATATACCCGATCCCCAGCTGCCCATACACATGAGCGTCACGGATTTGACCACATGGAAGGAGATGTTCGATTCCGCGATGATTGACATACGCCGCTTTGCTTATCACACCGATCCCATGCAGCTGGCCGATGTGGGTGTCTACAATCGCATCACGTTCGAGCAGCGCTTTGCCATGCAGTGGCAGGAGTAAATCTAGCTACAGCTTGACCTTGAAGCTATGGGGCTGGTCTATCGGTCAGGCGCGCGGTTGCCAAATTTTATGCGAATATAACAAAAATAGTGTATATTATTCGTGTAATGCAACGCACTTTTCCTCTATTTCATTTTATTTATTTGATTGCATTTAAGGCTTTTTGAGGTTATGTTTTCTTTTTTTTTTTAGGTTAGGTTTTAAGCTTATTTATTAAATCATAAAAATATGAAGATATGAAACATATTGCACATCGCATTTATGCGTTTTTCATCTTTTTTTTTTATAAGGCAACCGTGAATAGATGTACTCCGATTTAAATTCAAATCATATATATGTATGTCTATGCATGAGTATTAGTATGTGTACATGTATTAGTGAATGTTTGTTTGAAAAAAAAAAAAAAAAACACAAAAATGTCCATGTGCTGTAAATGTAAATGTGAGTTTGAAGCTTAGACACATCTTGATGATGATATATAGATATATACTACATGGTACCTGCACCTAGCACACACACCATACGCACACACACTCGCACACACACTCACACACACTTACACACAACTGAGTTAGTTGCTGGGTTATGCATAGCGGAATTTATATACTGTGCCTTGCATCACTCTCTCTATTTCTCGCAGAACTCTTTACCATGATCCATGTCAAGCTCAACTAGAGCTCCTGGTACCAAATCCTAACCTTAAATGGATTTCTTTTTGTTTACATGTAGACTATACAGAAGATATATATATATATATATACGCATATGTATGCCATATTGATGCTTTATTGGAAAATAAATGTTATTTATTGTTGACTAGCATGACAGCATAGCTAACGAACATAATTTGTTAGGATTGTGGTATTGATAGCCACACGCAAACATATATCTATGTGAATATGTCTTATATAAATACAACTATATATAATTAATGCAAAATCAGAAGTCGCTGCAGCTGGTCCACACAGTTAATTGCGCATAGCTTTCGCCCGAGTTAAGCGATCGCGATCAAAGATGCCCAACAACTTGCCGCGCGTCATTTCCTTGGACTCACGCAGGCCTAGTTTATATATTTGGTCATGCATCTCTTTAATTTTCTCGACCAGCTGTTCCGGCGGCAGGCGGGCAAACTCTGTAATGGTTTCAATATATCGTTTAAGGTCTTTTAAACTGGCTGACAGCTATACTAACGATTGATGGAGGCCATATTATTGCTGGACAATATCTGTGCCGAGTCAGCGGTTGGTGTGTGTATGGGTGTTTCGCTCATGGTGAGGAACTCCTCCATGCCGGGAACTAAATAGCCTCGTAATAAGTTGTATATATAATGTGTATTCTGTGTGAATGTGTGGTACTTACAGCGTTCTGGCCACTGCACAGGCGATTCACGCAACGTTTCAAGCGAAATTAAATCTTCCACTTTGGCGCTTTCTTTGGCGTCGCCGCTCTTCTTCGGTGTGATTTCATCTTTAATATATTACATAAATCAGTAGTCTTTATAATATCTGAGTTATATAGCCCACCTGACGATAACATTTCGATATCGGTTTCCAATTTACTCATTACTTAAATTCACTGTCAGTATTTTCAAATATTTCTTACAAACAATTGCACAAATTGGTAAACAAAATTGGTCGACAATAACAAGCTAGCGTTGCCACTTTAACAAAAACTTATATCTATTCTGTTGCGATATATCGATAACGAAAGAAACACATCACTGCGCTCAGTAGTTAGCTGCAGTGCTGCAAAATGGAATTATAAAAATTAATAATAAATTTTATTTACTAAAAACATTATTTTGCAGCTAAAGCTTCGAATTTTTTGCTATAAATATTATCTAGCAAATGATCCTTTGCTTTATTGTAGTTATACAAATACTATATGTACATGTGCTCTTCTCCGCGAGTGTTGCGTGCTCGCTCTGGCCCATTGGCGCGCGACCTGACCTCTCTCGCTACTCAACTTACAGTGCCTGTGTGAAAGCTGTGTAACTCTAACAAATTCTTAATATTAAATTATAAAAAGCAATGCTAATAGTAAAAGTCCGAGATAATAAATAAAAAAAACAGCTACGCACTCAAAACGTTTGGTAAAATAAATTATAAAACCAGCTGTTGCGGCTAAAACCTAAATTGCTGTCCGTTTACTTACGCGCCTGACTATGGAATCGTGCGTGCGTGCACTTTCTTTCAGTCATTGCTTCGCTCTTACTTTGGTTACATTTACCTGTTCCCTTATTTAACTTTAGTACAACGTTTGTTTTCAATTTAGTTGCTGTTAAACTAACGAAACGTGTGCAACTACCTCGCAAAGACAATTTCTATTTACAATTAGTGGCGCCAAAATTTTAACTAGAATTAATAAATATATGCAATATTTTGAAATAACGCTCTTATGATATATGTGCTGCCACCCCCTGGTCCCATAGAATCCCCCCATAAGCATCGAGTGCTCCAACAACAGTGCGTGGCAATAACTCATGGCCGCTAGCAAACTTTCAACAGCAACGTTAACAACGAGCCTTAAGCACACAACACCATTCGATGGCATTTGTGCGAAAATCTCAGCGTTCTATTTTGACTTAGATAACACGCTTATCCCAACGCGGGCCGGTGACTCCAAAGCCATACGCAAGGTAAGTTAACTTCGCGGGTGAAAGTTCGCGCGGTCTGTGTGTGTCATGCTTGTCATACAAACACTCCAAAAATACACACACACACACACACATGTTTACATAGTATTTACAAAAATTTTCCACTGCAGCCGCTCGTTACGTACATTTTTGTTGTGTGCATGTGTTAGTGAGCGCGTAGGCAAATAGCACGCGCGCGCTTCTGACTGTGTGTGTGTGTGTATGTATGTATATGTTTGTGTGTGCGTGCGTGTGCATGCACGTTTGATCAATGCATGTCGTCTTTCTCTGACTAGAGGTCAAAGTCATAAGAGACCAAAAATAAATGCCTGCACATCTATGATGCTCGAGTGACACTTGTTAGTTTGACATTTACCGTTAAACGAAGATCAGTGAAATTGCCTGCAAATGGAAAATGAAATTTGTTTGTTTTTTTTTTTTTTTTATTATTTGTTTGGTGCGCAGTTTATTTTTATTTTTATTTTTTAAGTGCTCGGCTTTTGAGCGGAAGCTTAAGCTAAGGAGTTATAAATATGTAAGCCTGTTTCGTCATGCAGGAAGCAGCTGTATTAATACATACATAAATGATTAATGGCTGGACGCGCCTTATTTGCGTTTTAAACAAACAAATGTGTTCTATGTGCATAAATTGTATTCGATGAATAATTTATTTCTTTATCATCAGTTGTTGTCTGCGAAATTTTCGCTTTAAACAAGTCTGGAAATTTGTTTACATACATATTGGCAATACCAATTGATAACGGGACTTCCGTACATACATATACTCCTATCAATATGTCTAGCGACACGTTAAAGGTAGAAATTATCTAAATTCAAATTGAAAACCTTGAATGATTACATTTATTTATCTGAGTTCAAGTAGTTTCCTACAATACTACTTCTTTGCTAATTGCAATGATTTATTAATAAGTTGAATCTTGCTTTAGAATAATAAATCACATAAAAACTTGCAAATTCACGTCTCGCACGCGTCAAGCTTAATCCTGGCAGCCCTTACACTATGGCCGTCTCGTTCTAGCTTATGCAAGTGCCCTATGTGAGCGCAACGCGGGCAAAATATTTGTTACATATGCAGCTAACAGGTGTCATAAGCGCATGACTGTATCGCCTCTTTCGCAAGTCCCGTTCATGACTAATAACCGTTAAATGTATGTATGTGCATATGTACGTGTGTGGTTTATTTCGCAATTGAATTATGCACTTGCGCAATTGTCTGTGACAGGCAGAAGGAAACCTTTTGCGACCCCCTCTAAATATATTTAGTATGTATAAATAAATACTCGTCAATTCGTTAAGTCAACGAGCGGGGTCTATTAGTTTGCCCTTCTATATGAATGCGGCTTCATACATATTTGAAATATATTTCCTTATATGCACCACACAGTATTGTCGATATACATATTCTTCAATTTTCATAATATCGATAAATATCGATTTTGAGGCACAGTTTTGTGTATAAACTGATCAAAACCTGGGGAAAACTCATTTTCAAATATAAAACATGGTGATTTGGTGTATAGACCCTTTTTTTTTTGTTTTTCGTATATTATTGCGCTGAAAATTAAGCAAGGATCGAACACTAAATACCGATGCGACATAATGGATGCATGGATTATAAGATGTATGGAGGGATATACGCATGGTTTTAACGCGACGGGCTTAGGGTAACTGCTAGTCGGGCACTGGCGCCAACGTGTTTATATTAAGAACTTGGTGCAACTGTCATTTGATTTTGATTGAAAATTTCTGCCTGTGACAGCTTGCCGACGTGCTGGAAACGCAGTATAGCTTTACCAAAGACGATGCCAACCTGGCCACACAGAACTTTTTAAAGTCGTTTCGTCGCTGTCCGGACAATTCGCAGACATCGCTGGACTCGTGGCGGACGCATCTGTGGCGCGAGTCACTGCAGCAGAAGCACAAGCATCTCGCCGAGCAGATCTATCCGCAGTGGCTGAAGCTGCGCTACCGTTATTTGGCCGTGCCGCCGGACTATGTGCAGCTATTGCAGCGTATGCGACGCGCCGGCTATGCCCTGGCGCTCATCACAAACGGCCCGTCGAACGCACAGTGGGAGAAGGTCGCCAAACTGCATGTGCGCGGCTATTTTGACTGTGTGCTCGTCTCCTCGGATCTGCCCTGGGAGAAGCCGCATCGGGAGATATTCTATGCGGCGTGCAATTTTCTACGCGTCAAACCGCACGAGTGCGCCATGATTGGCGATAAACTAGAGACGGATATCAAGGTGAGTGTGCCGATAAGCTAATTAATCACGCACGGGCCCACATTCTGGCTCCACACACACACACACACACACACACACACACACACACACACACACACACACACACACACGTTCCTGAATGACTTCGGTAGTCCGATCTTCATGAAATTTATCAGGGCATCGGCATGGCATCCAATTGTGCGTCATCGACACTTATCGATTTCATGGATATTTATCGATTCGGTAAAAGAAACTAGATCTAGCTGTATCGAGTCGGCTGTCGATATTGATCAGGAATATACATACATACATATATGCTTAAAAAGTTCGTGATCAAATTAAAATACCCTTAGCAAGGATTTGCTGTTACTTGAATCAGATCTTGTTTGAGTCCTTCACTGATTGGACTTGCTTTGCTTACAGGGCGGACACCTTGCCCAGCTGGGTCTGACGTTCTGGATGCCGCTGAACAGCAGCAGCAGCGCCTCACAGTGCCTGGACGATGTGGAATACAAGCCGCATATAAAGCTCAACAATCTGCTCGAGCTATACAAATATTTTCCGCGCCTGAATGTCGCTGCACCGGCTCCGCCCAGCACAACAAATCGCCGGAGCAGCCATATGCCCATCACCTTAAGCGGCGGCGGCGGCGGCAGCAGCAGCGCCAGCAGCAGCAGCAGCAGCTGTGAGACTGACCGAGCGGCTGCAGTGCGTCAGCAGCAGAACTATGCGGAGGATGCCTATCAGCGCCAGTGGGCGTATAGGCGTGGCGGCTCACTGCCGGCCATGGATTGCTCCAATAGCGAGACGGAGAACAGCTGCGATAGTTTTATTTAGGCAATCCAGCTGACGACTTTTGGATTTGGTCAGAATCGACTCCAAAGGGGCCACGCCCACCAAGGCGTGTGCCATTTGTTAAACAAGATGAGGAGAAGCAAGCGAATGGAATGTGCAAGAGAAGCAAACGAAACAATGATGTACCTTCAGTTTACAAAACCCAAACACACGCACACACACACGCACACACATGCAAAGATACAAACGCACCCTGGAAAGAATCACCCACCCACCCACACACACACACACACACACATGAACACACACATACCACTAAGCTTAACATACGCAGGAATCTAAAGTTCAAAAAACAAATTGGAATTGAAGCAGCAGAAATATTTAAAGCCTGGCTGAATCTCGCAAATCTGCCATAAAAATATATATATATATATAATATAGTATATTTTTAAGCACAAATACAGCAAACACGCCCCATAGCTATATATATATATATATAGATATATGTTTATAATAATGTATAATATATTTATATATATATATATATGTATAGCTTGTGTATTTTTCTAAATGAAAAACCAAACCAAGAAAAACAAAAGTTATGCAAATACTATTATATATGAGCATATGCATATGTATAAGCCTAGGCTATGCTATTAATAGGGTATATATATATGTATGTATAGATATATGCTGCACAATTTGTAGCCCGATTAGAGAATAGCATCAACAATCATCAACATCAACATCAACGACAATGCAAATTCAGATTCAGCTAAAACTCAACAACAACAACTTCATGTGCGGACACAAAAATTGTTAACTATTGTTGTAGGAATTTAGAAAATATACCCGATTACTGTATATGATTATATATATGTATATATACATATGCACGCTGTATAAATATGTATATGAATATGTATAGCTGTATATAACTATATTATGTGTGCATTTTGCATGCATAATATGTTGTTATTGCTCAT